ACACTGAGGGGTTACAGCTAGTGTAGAAAACCAAAAATATAGAAGTTGTAATGATGTACAAAACGCATATAACCTCACCATAATGATACAAAAATAAACAGTCAAAACTCCGGAGAAGTTCGTCCATCTTTCTGATACCTGTTGGGAATTAATATTTTTCAGTTTGACTGTTTATTTTTGTATCATTATTCTGAGGTTATAAGCGTTTTGTACATCATTACAGCTTCTATATTTTTGGCTTTCTACACTAGCTGTAACCCCTCAGTTTTGTTAGATCTCAGAAGCTAAACAGGGTCACCCCCTGGATGGGAGACCACCGGACTTCTGAACAGACTATTGGGGATGATCTTGAAATGAAAGAATTCTACAAGGGTTCTTGGAATGCCTTCGTGGAGAAATCTGTTGTTAGACTGTTGGACCCTGATGTTCTTACGGAGTTATTAAACATACTGAAACGACAGAGTCAAACAGAGAGACACTTAGATGCTTACGGACAACTGATTAAACAGTTACAAATGGTAATAAGAAAATCCCATGTAAAACAAAATAGAGTGAAGAACACCACAAATAAGCCCTGGTTTGACAAGGAGTGTAGATCAATGAAAAAGGCTCTTAATGAAGTCTATATCAAGTACAGGTGTCGTGAAAATAGTGATTACCTTCACCTAGAAACCCAGCATCTCAAGAAAGGTCTCGTTATAAGCGTTTCCCCTCGTGTGCTGACGTGACGTGGAGCATGTTGCCACTTTGATTTTGTGGAATGTTCAATCATGTGAGCCGTGGCCTGCAACATGAAATGAAATGTTTTGTTTCCTGAGTGAGAACCAGATGCGAGGCATCAATGTCGCCTTTTCCAAAGAGAGAGAGAGCAGGAACATCAGCCAGATGGGCTGGCCTCCCTGGAGGTCTCTTTAAGCTCTTCGTCGTCTTCTTCTTCGAAGGGATACCACCAAGGAATGCTAGGGGTCTGATGCAAAGGCAGGCAATGGCGAACCACCTCTGAGTGTCTCTCGCCTTGAAAACCCACCGGGTCGCCATAAGTCAGCTGTGGCTTGACAGCACACAAACTAAAGTAACCGGCAACCTCCCCTGCCTGTGAAAGGACCCAATTTTAAGCATCTGTGCAGACTCAGTCATTGCAGATCTGAGTGCGTCCCTTCATCAAGAGCACTTTTAAAATCCCACTCTTCCTCTAAGGAGCAAACAGACTTTGGAGGTGCTGTTTCCCCATTGATCCTCACGATGACCCTGCGAGGCAGGTTGGGCTGGGGGGGGGGAACTGACCCGAGGTCACCCAGCAAGCTTTGTGACAGTGGGTGGATTTGAACACAGGTCCTCCCTAACTGCTATAGCCACACTGCCTCAGACCTAGCACCCACACTGTGAACTGGATGGAGACAGCAAGACATAAATATGCATTCAGTCGACATGCCATATCACCCTGTCAACGTTGCAGTGTTTTCTCCAGAAATTATTACAGATGCGCCTGTGACCTAGAGGGGATTTAAGCTACAAATGACACAGCTTAGAATCCCTACGTTTTAAGTGAGGGGAGGGGACGGGGACACGGACAGGACATGCTCTCCAGCTTACCCTGGAACCTGCGTGTGGCTTTCCCCTTGAACTTGACCTCAATTCAAGGATACCTCACCTTGGAAACCTTCGATGGGCCTGCCCACGTAATGGGAGGATAGATGGGTGAAGTGAACGCAGCAGCAAGCCGCATTCCTGTCCCATCACACAGACGTTTCTGGCGTGGTATCTGAATGCAGCCTGGAGCTCATAGCTCGGTGAGCCTGGGTCACATTTTGCAACTCGAAATGCTGCGGTGTTTGGAATGTGAAGTGTTGCCTAGCACTAAACAACTCTGATATTTAGAAGCAGAGATGTGATACTCTCGTGTGGGGGGGGGAGAGAAAGGATGTTTCAAGGGTTGTGTTTCCAAGGTCATCCGTGGGATTTCTCACCTGGCAAGATCTCTGTTGTGTTCTGGAGCAAGGGAGGAGGAGGGGCTTCCCTACCGCACCATTTTCACCAGTGGAAAGGGCTGCCCGGGAGGGGCTCTGTTTGCCCCTTTCTCCGTTTCATGTTGCCACTGGTGGAAATGGTGCCATGGGGACACTGGAAGCCCCTCCTTCCCCTTCACAGTGTTCCGGAGCCCAACCGAGGGCTTTTAAGGCGAATAAACCTGCTTCCTGTGAGTGATGTGTGGCAGCAAGCTGGATCGGGTGCCTGCATCCCAGCTGATGTCACACCTAATGTCTAGTCTGACTCTTAGTCTGATGAGCAGAACTATCACCCCGGAGTGGAGGTGTAGGTCGTGAAGGGCTTTGTAGGTCGTAGCCACCTTGAATCACACTTGGAAGCAAGTAGGCAACCAACAGGATGCCTTTGAACGCTGACGCAATGTGTGAATTTGCAGCTAACTCCAGGCTTGGCCTCTCACGCTCTTCCCGTTTGCCTTACCAATGGTGCCTGTCTTTCTCCAGGAAAGGTATAAAGTGCACAGTAGAGCAGTTTGTTAGATCTTCCAGATCCCTACACATTTCGCTTTGTCAGGGGATCTACTAAAAAGTTTTAAAAATACGTATGAACACCCATGACGCTGCCATATACGGAATCAGACCCCTGGGACTCCATCAAGGTCAGTATTGCCTACTCAGACTGGCAGTGACTCTCCAGGGTCTCAGGCAGAGGTCTTTCACATCACCTACTATCTGATTCTTTTAAACTGGAGGTGCTGAGAATCGAACCTGGGATCTTTTGCCTGCCGAGTAGATGCTCTACCACTGAGCCACGGCCTCTCCCCTGTACAACATAAATTCAATTAAAATGTCCATACAGAATAATAATGGGAAAATATTTAAAAAATAAAGTCACTTGTAAAGACACACTGAGCTCTATGCGACCTATTCATTTGTTCATGGTGCGAGCCAGAGGAGGTTTCTGTGTAAGGTATGCCACATTGTCTGCTTTTCTATTTTTCTGATATAGACCTTGTATTAATACCTTTTTTTTTTAGTTCTTTTGTCTTTCAGTATTAACAGGTTTTTGGATAGAAACTGCCTAGTTTTTATATCACGTTAGAGAATTTGTAAGGTATCCCTATGAAATGATCAGAGTGTGTCTTAAATTTCACCCTAGCTGGGGAGAGCCAGTTGTTCCCTCTGATCTGCTCCTCCATGCCTATTTGGTTGGTCCTTGACTGGCCCCTGCAAGAAGAAGAAGAGAAAAGATTGGATTTATACCCCACCCTTCACTACCCAAGGGCGTATCTATCAGAGTGGCTTACAATCCCCTTCCCTTCCCCACAACAGACACCCTGGGAGGTGGGTGGGGCTGAGAGAGCTCTGACAGAAACTGCTCTTTCAGGAACAGCTGTGCCAGAGCTTGTGACTGACCCAAGGTCACATCAGCAGGTGCAAGTAGAGGAGTGGGGAATCAAACCCGGTTTGATTAGAGTCCGCACACTTAACCACTAAACCATGCTGAAGAGGAGATTGGATTTATACCCCGCCCTTCACTACCCAAAGGAGTCTCAGAGCGGCTTACAAACTCCTTTCCCTTCCCCTCCCCACAACAGACACCATGTGAGGTAGGTGGGACTGAGAGAGCTCTCTTGAGAACTGCTCTGAAAGAACTTATGACTGATCCAAGGGCACACCAGCAGCTGCATGTGGAGGAGTGGGGAATCAAACCTGGTTCTCCCAGATTAGAGTCCGCACACTTAACCACTACACCAAACTGAAGAGGAGATTGGATTTATACCCCGCCCTTCACTACCCAAAGGAGTCTCAGAGCGGCTTACAAACTCCTTTCCCTTCCCCTCCCCACAACAGACACCCTGTGAGGGAGGGGGCGCTGAGAGAGCTCTGACAGAAACTGCTCTTTTTCGAGAACAGCTCATTATCAGAACTAAGGCTTGCCCAAGGTCATCCAGCCAGGCGCGAGATAAGGAGTGGGGAATAGGCAGCTTTCCTGCAGGTGGGTCTTTCTGCATCCAAGTGGTTTTGGAATCCCAGTTGATCCTGCCTTCCTTTCTTCCACCAGGTACGTGCAGAGCTTACTGGACATCATGGTGTTCCTGGATAAGGACCCTGAGGACCAAGGGACCCTGGGACAGTGAGTTTGGGTTGGGTTGGGGGGGGGCATTGAAAATGCCTGAGTAAGGATCCCCAGCTTATCGGTCTTCTAGTCTTTGCCACCTTCAGGTTTTTTTCTTCTGCATCGATCTGATCCTCTTAGCCACAGTGACAATTTTAGATTCTCTCTTTTATAAGCCACAACAACCTTATCTTTTTTTTTAATCTGCTCTCAAAAGTTTTATTTTTATCCACTGCTAAAATTTGCAGTGTCATCGATGCAACGAACATGAAATTGAGCCAACTTCAGAGGACAGCAGAAGACAGGAGGGCCTGGCGTGATCTGGTCCATGGGGTCGCGAAGAGTCGGACTCGACTGTGCGACTGAACAACAACAAAAAATTTGCTCTCTGCTGTAAAGGGGGGGGGTTAATGCATTTTGGACTGCCGCTGCCTCTCTTATTGTGTAATACTTGGCTGCTTAGGTTTTATTGTTGTTTCTGATTTTGTTGGACGATGAAGAAAGCTGACAGGAAGAAAGTAGATTCATTTAAAGTGTTGGAGGAGAGTTTTATGGATGCCATGGACTGCTAAAAATACAAATAAGCGAGTTCTAGATCAGATCAATCCTGAACTCTTCCCTAGAGGCCAAAATAACTAAACTGAGACTATTGTATTTTGGTCACATTACCTGAAGACAAGAGTCACTGGAAAATGCAGTACTGCTGGTAAAAGCTGAAGGCATAAGGAAAAGAAGAATTGGGGGGGGGGGGGTTATACCTTGATTTTTTTCTACCTTAAGGAGTCTCAGAGTGGCTTACAATCAGATTCCCTTCCTTTCCCCACAGCAGGCATCTTGTGAGGTAGGTGGGGCTAAGAGAGTTCTGAGAGAACTGTGACTGGCCCAAGGTCACCCAGCTGGCTTCATGTGGGTTAATGGGGAAGCAAACCTGATTCTCCAGATTAGAGTCCCCCGCCCTTCACTACACCATGGATTGATTCAGTAAAGGAAGCCACGTGGCCCCTGGGCAAGGCTGCTCGTGAGAAGACATGTTAGAGGTCGTTCATTCCTAAGTTTGCCCTAAATCAGAAGCAGTTTGATGGCACTCCGCACAGACTAATTTTGTTAGATTTTGTTTTAAGGACTCGTATATTTTAACAGGTGCTATTTTAACACCATCTCGGGAGCCTTGGATCAAATTAGTTCGGCCCAGTCCTTGCTGTGTGTCTTCAGCTGAGGCCAAGGAGAGGTTCCTTGTCAAACTCTGGCCCGCCAACCAAACTGTCCTTTCTGCCAGAATCAGTGTCCATAAAAATACCTGCAGGTTCTAGTTTTGAGTCTGAGCCTTCACTATGTGCAGTGCTCAAAGGGTGCCATATTCTAGCTTGTTCTGCAGATCCACTCCAGGCCTGTATTTCATAATGTGGCTGCCTCCATGCTCATAGCTGTGGAAGGACCCCTCTGTTCTGTTGGTCCCTGCTCAGAGAGGAAATCAGCTATGAATGGGGTTCCTTAGAGAGCCCCAATGTGAACGTTGCTTATTATTGGCTGTAATAGAGCCAATTTGGTGTAGTAGTTAAGTGTGCGGACTCTAATCTGGGAGAACGGGGTTTGATTCCCCACTCCTCCACTTGCACCTGCTGGATGACCTTCGGCAAGACATAGTTCTGGCACAGCTGTTCTTGAAAAAGAGCAGTTTCTGTCAGAGCTCTCTCAGCCCCACCTACCTCATAGGGTTTCTGTTGTGGGGAGGGGAAGGAGATTGTAAACCGCTCTGAGACTTCTTTGGGTAGTGAAGGGCAGGGTATAAATCCAATCTCCTCCTCTTCTCCTTCTCCTTCAGACGTTATGCAAAACCGTGGTTTAATGAAACTAAAGACGATTGGGGAGATGGTCTGAATGAAGGCCAGTCAATATCTGAATGCAGGCTACTCAGTGAACTATGGTTAATTAAGGTCTGTCAAACCAGGGGTTGATTTGTTAACCACAGTTCATCTTAACTATGGTTTCACACGATGTCTCAGCAGACTTTCTGCCTCAACGCCCTTCCAAGTGCAAAGGCATTTGTGGAAGCCATCCAGGATTTGAACCATCATCTGCGAGCCAAATCCTGGTTCCGCAAACCCACAACTCCTTGCTCTGTCTAAACTGATGCACGGAATCTAAGACTGGGTACAAGTGCCAGTTTGGGAAGGTCATACGACCGTCAATCTCACAGCAGTTGCATGCAGTTGAGCTCTTTTTCTTAAGACCTGTGTTCCTCTAGGTTCACGAACGCCCTGGTCACCATCCGGAACCGCCACAATGACGTCGTCCCCACCATGGCACAAGGTGTGATCGAGTACAAGGAGGCTTATGGGGACGACCCAGTCTCTAACCAGAACATCCAGTACTTCCTGGACCGCTTCTACCTTAGCCGAATCTCCATCCGCATGCTGATCAATCAACACAGTGAGTTGCTTGCTTCGCTTCGCATTTAATCTCTACGCCTTCCCGCCCCCTGGGGCTGTGGTGCTACACCAGTGGCTGTCTGTTTGCCTTTCCTTTCATCTGATTAAAGCTATTTTGATCAAGTACCTTGAGCGGTCGTGTCCCCTCCTCTGATAAATATCACCTTAGAGATTTTACACCCAAACAATTAGAAAAACTCCAGTGACAGCGAGGGGTAATATTAGGAGATTTATCAGATAAAACGAGTGAGATAATCTGATGGCGAGGTAGAAAGGAGATGTTGTCCAAATGGTATGTTAAAAATCTATTCCTAAGAGTCACATACAAGGGGCATGCCAGTAAAATATGCACCAATGTGTCGGTCTTCCCTAAAGAACAGTTGCACAGAGGGGTCCTCATTAATCTGCCTCTCTTCACAGGGTGGGCTGTGCATTTAACCGAGTCAATAAAAATCCCTCTAAAATAATTTTGGACAGGCAAATGGAAGACATAAGAAGGCAGTGATCTAGGCGGGGGGGATTCCAAAAAATAACAACAAGCCCTGTGTGTGTGGGGGAGAGGGGGGAGTCTGTTTGCAATGCGTTGGTGTGTAACTCCACCTTGAAAATAAGTGGGTGTGGCCATCTGAGCCCTGCTCCTTTGATGCTCCAGGGGATCCGCCCCTGGTGACTTCCTGCAACTGCACGCTGCATCAAATCATGCTGTGTACTATGCCAGTTTGGTGTAGTGGTTAAGTGCACGGACTCTAATCTGGGAGAACCGGGTTTGATTCCCCACTCCTCCACTTGCACCTGCTGATGTGACCTTGGGTCAGTCACAAGCTCTGGCACAGCTGTCCTTGAAAAAGAGCAGTTTGTTGTCAGAGTTCTCTCAGCCCCACCCACCTCACAGGGTGTCTGTTGTGGGGAGGGGAAGGGAAAGGAGTTTGTAAGCCGCTCTGAGACTCCTTTGGGTAGTGAAGGGCGGGATATAAATCCAATCTCCTCTTCTTCTTCTTCATTTCCATTTCCCCCCCTCCCACAGCCCTGATTTTTGACGGCAGCACCAACCCGGCCCATCCCAAGCACATCGGCAGCATCGATCCCCACTGCAACGTCTCGGAGGTGGTCAGAGGTTGGTTGGCCTGGGTCCTTCGTGTTTCACCCTGGAGCATCCCTTTTCCTCCGGGGTGCTTCTGATTCTCGGTCACGCTCTCTCGCGGGAGTCCGCGCGTGACCAAGGCTCGTTCTTCTCCCCTCTCTTTCCCCAGACGCTTACGACATGGCCAAGCTCCTGTGTGACAAGTACTACTTGGCATCTCCTGAGCTGGAGATCCAGGAAATGAATGGTGAGTCCTCTGGAGAGCAATAGTGAGGTGCGTGTGTGTCTGTGGGGGGGGGGTGTAAGTTGTTGAAGAGAGGGATGCCGGAGGCAGGCAGGGGAGGAGATGGCAGGGACTGGGACAGAAGCTTCTGGTTCATTTTTTGTTTCCCCCTTTTCCCAAGGAGTAGCATGCTTGGTTCTTCTTTTCCCCATTGTTTTAAACAACGAGCCTGTGAGGGCCGGTAGGCAGAAAGTGAACGACCGGTCTCCTTCCATGGAGACAGATCAAGATGGGTAGCCGTCTTAGTCTGTCCGTAGCAGTAGAAAAGAGCAAGAGTCCATTGGCACCTTAAAGACTAGCAAAATTTGTGGCAGGGGATGAACTTCCATGAAGTGAGCGGTGACTCACGGAAGCTCATATCCCCCCGCCACAAACTGTGTTTGTCTTTAAGGTCTCCGTGTGAGCTTTTATGGCGAAGCAGAGATCTGAGGTCCGGTCTCCAGGCTCTTACGTCGACACTCTGATCGCCGTGCCATGCCGACCCTCCATTTGTCCTGAAATCTGTGCATGGGTACGCTGAGTGGATTTCAGTTTCTCACCCGACCCATCCCAAGGGGGACTAAGGATAAGAACTCTGCACAGAAAATGATCCAGCCGTAACCGTGCTTTCCTGTGCGGTGTGATGCACAGAGACCACGAAGAAGATAGACAGGTTGCTTACCTGTAACTGGTGATCTTCGAGTGGTCATCTGTGCATTCACACCACCCGCCCTCCTTCCCCTCTGCTCTCGGCCCTTCATCTTTTTTCTTTGAAGGCTGTTGGGCGGCGGTCAGAAGGAACTGGCGGGATCTGCGTGCCCCTCCTTGGTCATGCGCAGTGGAGCCGGCGCGTGACCTGGGAGAGGCGCGAAAATCCCTTTTGCTAGCTATCGGTACCGAGAAGGTCAGCGCAGGCGCAGAGTATCCCAAGGGTGTGAATGCACAGATGACCACTCGAAGATCACCAGTTACAGGTAAGCAACCTGTCTTTCCTGTGCAAGTGGAGCCATCCCAAGTCACAAGCACCCAGTAAACGAATGTCTGTGTCCAGAGGGGGGGGGACATGGCTGACGATGGGCACTGAGAGCACTTTACCCGAAACCCTTTGTTGAACCTGTGGCAAAGGAACAACGGTCTCCTAGGCCTCGACTCAACTTTTCGCCTCTCCCGCAGCCTTCCAAGTGCACAGATGGCTTTATTGTTCAGAGCTGGTTTATGGCTGAGCAAATAGCTAGGAATCAAGGGTGTTCTCCTCTGTAAAGAATGGGTTGGATCCAGTGACTGTCTTCCATTCAGTGAATGGATCCAACCCAGTGTGCTAAAAAGGGCACCGTGTGCTTGAGAGAACGCTCCGTTGCACGCAGTGGGTTGGATCCAGCCGGCTTTTCTGCTCAGCCTCTCCCTGTACCTCCTCCCCCCCTTACTACAGCCCCTCTCTTGCATGTCTTTCATCCTTGCAGGTCCCATGGTCCCCAGCATAGCTAGTTTGTTGGGCAAAGGGGACTCTGCCTTTTTTACCACCGGCCAACTTGGTTGGATCCAACCCAGTGAGACTTACTTCTGAATCACCAAACACAGGGAAAGTTTCCTTGGCCAAGAAAGCATTAACGCTAAAATGCCAGCTTCGGCAAGTGAGAGCCCCAAAGGGTTTTGCGAGCTTGGAAGAGGATAAGAATGAATCAGTGAAAATTGGGAGTGTCACGTTCTTTAATTTGGCAGCAAGAGTTGCTTTACTTTCAGCCAGATTTGCAGTAATTTTGTTTCTGAAGAGTTGCTTTACTTTCAGCCAGATCTGCAGTAATTTCGTTTCTGCCAATGGGAACAGGATCTATGTGTGCAAGTTGAAGTGGTTGCATGTACTCCGAGGTCTGGCTCTCCCTTGTCACTGCCTCCTGCCCTGCAAGTCAGCCACCCAAAGCAGCCTGTCCTAGAGATGACATTCCAGTCCATTGGGAGGAATGCTTTCGAGGTGGTCTCTTTTGTGCTCCTGCTGTTCCCCCTTGTGTTTGTTTGGGTGTTTATCTTTTTTCAGAAGTATTGTTAAAGCTCCATCCCTTGAGCTTTTAGAGCAACTGCTCGCCTTATTCTTCTTTTCCCCCCCCATCCATGTAATTCAGAAACAAGAACAGGACCTCAGTCTTGGCCCAGTAAGTAGCAGTTTGATTAAGCGGCTGTCGTAGAGTTGGCATTGTGGCTTGGCAGCTAGAGCTTTGCTAGAATCCCAGCTTCCTTCCTTCCTCCATTCCTGGCTTCTTCTTGCCTTGCCTTTAAAAACAGTCGCAGCAAACTGCCGGTGGTTCCTGTGCCTTTAACAGCATAATGGATAACGGCATGGAGAAGTCAATACGTATTACTCCCTGCATCGTGACGTTGCAATGACGGGAAATCAAAGTTCACGGGGATTGAATGGTTATCTCTCCCTTTCATCAAAGTGTTTGGGGCAGGTGGCAGCCCTTCAAGATGTCAGAAAGTTTCAAATCAGGGTTTTCTACTGGGGAGCGTCTGTATGCCCTCATCTGGATAGGCCAGGCTGGCCTGATCTCGGAAGCTAAGCAGGGTCGGCCCTGGTCAGTATTTGGATGGGAGACCACCAAGGAATACCAGGATCATGACACAGAGGTAGGGCATGGCCAACCACCTCTGAACGTCTCTTGCCTCGAAAACCCCTATGGGGTTGCCATAAACCAGCTGCAACTTGGCAGCAAAAAATAATAACCCCCCCCCCCCAAAAAAAAACCCCCCACAGTCATATACCCACCCTCTGTCTCCTGTATGAAAGGATCTATTCTTCTTCTTCTTCTTATTATTATATTAAATTTCTCTTAATAATTGCATTTCTCTTAACAATTATTATTACTTATTAAATTTCTGTTCCCTAGTCAGCTCCGCTCAGCCTGTCATGCGGACATAACAAGAGCCCTGCTGGATCTGACATCTGGTTCAGCATCCCATTCCCCACAGTGGACAGTCAGATGCCCTAGAACAGGGGTGTCAAACTCATTTCCTATGAGGGCCGGATCTGACATAAATGAGACCTTGTTGGGCCGGGCCATGTGTGTCATAAAATGTAATGCCAGGTAGCGGAGATATAAACTTTATAAAGGACACAAAGGGTGGGGTTTTTTTTACTTAAAATAAAAACATGCTTAAACCATCAGCACTCTTGCAATGTTTTGCTTATTTAACAGTGTCTGATAACTGACACCTCTCGCTCTGAATTATTGCATCGAAATGTCTGTGCTGTTACAATCTTGAGTATGCTGTTCAGGTGTGTATCTGTAAGCTGCAAACCTACGATGATGCAGCAGCAGCAGAACTGGAAGAAGCAGAAGACAGTCAGTTCCACTGCGGGCCTGATAGAAACCCTCCGGGGGCCTGATCCAGCCCCCCGGCCACATGTTTGACACCCATGCCCTAGAAGGCCTACCAAGCAGGGAACAACTCTTGTAGCTTCTCCCCTGCCCCCTTCGTCCACCCATGTCTGGCATTCCGAAGTACCCTGCCTGGGGGCATGGAGGTTTAATTTAGTCATCATGGCTAACACCCATGTATTCCCTTGTAAAGCCATTACTATTTATTAGATTTATTCAGCTGTCCTTCCCTGCAAGCAGGGCTCAGGGTGGCCAGTGACCATCAGTTCGTTGTATACTGTGTGAAGAAAGACTTTACTTTGTCAGTCCTGAATCTGCTGTCTGTCAGCCAGGTTTTTTTGCCGTCAAGTCACAGCTGACTTATGTTGACGTCCTGGAGTTTTCAAGGCTAGAGTCGTGCAGGGGTGGTGTGCCATTGCCTGCCTCCACATCCCGACCCTGGTATTCTATGGTGGTCTCCCATCCACATACGAACCACTTTACGAGATCGGGCTAGCCTGGCCTATCCAGGTCAGGGCCCAGTTCAAAATTTTAGTGTTATAGGAGTGGGAGGAAACACTTCCTGCTGTCTCTTCTGTCTGCCCCAAGCGTGACTTTCATCAGCCTATTATTGGGTCATCTGTGAGAGCACCCTGAAAAAGCTGGTCTTTCTTCCCCCACCACCCTCTCTGCCGGGGGGGGGAAGCATCGTGTCTCTTCCGCGGTCCCTCTCTTTCCATCTCCCACAACAAAATGGGGGGCAAAAATAAGTGCCACCGACCCCACGAGGCAAAAAATGAAATTTAGCTCACACGAGAAGAACGTGCCTGTCCGGACTTCCACACTCAAAAGCGCTTTGCAGCCTGCAGGCTGTCACGTCCCATTCTTGGCCGAACGTTCCGAAAATCGGATCGTTTTATCTGAATTTGTACCAACTGCAAAGGTTCTGCGGGAACTAAAAAACCGCTGTAGCAACCCAAGCTGCAGTGTTAGGAATGTCAAGTAACGAATAAATATACACTGCAAGAACCTTTTGTAAATGAATGTGTTCTGTTTATAACTATAATTCTATGGAGTGCATTGTGTATTATTATAACATCCTAATCAGGTATATATATTCACGACATTCAGTATAACAATAACAGTCCATACAATATAACAACTACCAGTCAATTTTGCATCAGTATTTTAAAAGCTAAGGAGCTGCGGTGGCTCAAGTGGTTAAGACGCTGAACTGCAGGCCGTGGAAGGTCAGTAGTTCAGCAGTTCGAGACCCGGGTGCCGCATGGAAACGGAGATGAGCACCACAACCCTAGAGTCGGATTCGACTGGCTTTCGAGCAAGGGAACCTTTACCTTTACCTTTATTTTAAAAGCCAAACCCCAACGGGAGTTTCTAGAATTACAAGACTGCTTCTACTTGCATGAAGTCTTCCAGAAGGGGGAAAGCTTTCATTTATAGTTGTGCTGATGCTTATTGCTGGCCCTACAAAAGCCTGTTTAAAAGACATAATTCATAAGTCTAAAAGTTAAATAGTTTTTCTAGTATAGCTTGGCTTCATAAGTTTTCTTACCACATTGTGCAGCTAAAATTCATAGACGGAGCAAAAAAACCCAGCAGAAATGTTGGAGGTTGTAGTGGTGGAAAACATTGCATGGAAGGCAATTTGGAGGGGAGAAATACAAGGGTTGGATCATACCAGGTGGAAGAGGAAGGCAGGGGCCCTCTTTGACTGTTGGAAAGGGCCAGGGATGATGAGGCCAACATAAGCAAAAAACCAAATGGGATTGCAGCTGTCATGAAGAGTGCAGGAATCCAAACAGATAACCCGGTAGGATCTAACCCACAGTCCTGAGTTGCTGGCAGAATGTCTCAGACTGACAAGCGGAGCTGACTCTGCAGTCTCTGTTAGCCAGTCAGAATTTAAGGCCAAGCTAGGAGCCCATTGGAAGCTGCAAAGCAGGCAGTGGGAGCAGGATACTCTGCTGCTTTTGAGGCCTTCTTGTGCTCACTGAATGGCCAAAGCACCTGCCACAGGCACAAAGAGTAGAGGGGGAGATTGTCTCTTAGAGGTCTGATCTAAGGCAGAATTCCTGGTAAAACCAGGCCAGGGTGTCCTGGACACGGGTCTTAAAATCTGCATGGACGATGCCATGCCCCAAATCAGCCCTTGGCCCCATTGCGTGGAGGTAAATGGAGAGGGATGCCGCATGGTTGCCTTGCACGGGGGCGGGGTTTGTACAGACAAAGTGGAATGACAACACAGGGTGACCAGGGTGTTCTGAATAACCTCTCTCTCTCCCACTTCCAGCAAATCATCCCGACCAGCCCATCCACATGGTCTATGTCCCCTCTCACTTGTACCACATGCTCTTTGAGCTGTTCAAGGTAATTATTCCCACCCCCTCCCCTTGCCTGCCCTGGCTCTGCATTCCGGTCTGGACATCGGGACCAATGCTCCCTCTAAGCTGTGGAGTCTTGGGAGCAAAAATTCTACTTTGTGACCTACTGGCATTAAAGCTGTGAGCGAGCGATTTGGCTGCTGCATAAATTAGTCTGCTCTGGAGCCATCCTTCCTGAGCCAAGACAAAAATATGTGAGCCGGAGGCTTAAAAACTGTGAGCTAGCTCACACTAACTCAGCTTAGAGGGAACACTGATTGGGACTACTTCTTAGTCTGGGGCTAAACGAGGAGAGGGAATGGCTCCGTCCCTGGAGCAAAGTGCCTTGTTGCAAGCCCACCAGCACCTTTTCTCGCTCCTGCCTGGTGTTTTTAGGAAGTGGGCGGGGTCCAGTAAAGGTTTTTGCCCACAAGTCTTTGATTGGGTGCTGGAGATTTGATTGGCGCTGTGAGGATTTCTTAAAACATTGCTTTGGCAGCAGCTGCCGCCACAGCCCACGGCTCTTCACTGTGTGGTTGAAGTTAAAGCCATGGCCAACGCTCCCTCTAAGCTGTGGAGTCCTGTGAGTCCTGTGAGCAAAAAATTTTACTTTGTGAGCTACCGGTATTAAAGTTGTGAGCAGGTGATTTGGCTGCTGCATAGATCAGTTTGCTCTGGAGCCACCCTTCCTGAGCTAAGACAAAAATGTGTGAGCTGGAGGGTAAAGAACTGTGAGCTGGCTCACACTAAGCTTAGAGGGAACCCGGGGTCATTTCCTGCAGGAGCGCACAGGAGCGGAGCTCTGGCAGTAAAGAGCCCAGGGGGCGGGCACATGCAACAAGCCCCACCCCCTGCTCCCAGCAGCCCTCAGTCAGAGCAAAGCAGCCAGGTAAGTTGCAGAGCTTTCCCCGGCCCGAAACAGTCCAGTGGAACCTTTAAGACCAAGTTTTATTCAGGCACAAGATCTCCCTCTTTATTCAGGTACAAGCTCTCCCTCCTCTGCGAGGACAGATCTGCACGCTCCCCCCCCCCAATAGCTAGCAATCCAAAACAGTCCAGTGGAGCCTGAGTGGTGGGTGTTGCCTTCTGACACACTTCTGGTGATGTCAAGGGGTGTGGCCTATGCAAATGAGTTAATCTAATGAGTTATGCTAATGAGCTGCACCTCTTTTTCTACGAAATGTCCACTGGAGGGAGCACTGGCTGTGGCAGTCCTTTTGTGGCTGGCTCCGCCTCTGGTGGCAGCCGTTTTGTGGCTGCCCCCACCATACTGTGTCAGAATTTCAAGGGGGCCCACAGGCTCTAGAAGGCTGGTGACCCCTGCTTTGGATAGCTTCTGCTGTGTAGCGTGCTTCCTTTGTCATCATCCATAGGCTCCAAGCCTTAGTAAGGGCCATACTTATTCATTCAGCCACGCCAGCTTTGTTTCTTTTCAAAACGAGAAGAGGGCACGTTACTGGCTGGGGCAAAACCGGCCATCTGCTGTGATGCGAAGGATGCCCAGTGGCCCAGGCTGGACAGGGATCTGGTGCTCTTCTCATTCTCTGCCGTTGCCTCCCCAGAATGCCATGAGGGCCACTGTCGAAAGCCACGAATCCAGCCCCTCGTTGCCAGCCATCAAGGTGATGGTGTCTCTGGGGCACGAAGATCTTTCTATCCGGGTAAGTGAGGCCTCAGAAGGAAAAATCAGGGAAGTACCCTGAGGAGCAGCTGCAGGTAGTTGTGTGACCCAGTGTGGGGTAGTGGTTAGAATGTAGGACTGGGATTTGGGAGACCTGGGTTCAAATGCCCGCTCTGTCATGAACCTTGCTGGGTGTCCTTGGGCCAGTCACCCTCTCTGGGAGCCAGTTTGGTGTAGTAGTTAGGAGTGCGGACTCTAATCTGGGAGAGCCAGGTTTGATTCCCCACTCCTCCACTTGCAGCCGCTGCCGTGACCTTGGTTCACTCATAAGTTCTTTTGGAGCTGTTCTGGAAAGGGCGGTTCTCTCAGAGCTCTCTCAGCCCCACCTACCTCACAGGGTGTCTGTTGTGGGGAGGGGAAGGGAAAAGAGATTGTAAGCCGCTCTGAGACTCCTTTGGGTAGTGAAGGGCAGAGTATAAATCCAATCTCTTCTTCTTCTTCTCTCAGCATCACGTACCTGGAAAGGTTGGGGTGTGAATGTCACTGAAAAGGAAAGCCCACATGTGCCCCCTTGAGCTCTTTGGAGGAGGTGCAGCAAGATGATAACGTAGTAGGCAAGGAGAGAGGCGTGCCAGTCAGTGGATGTTCCCATTTGAGTGTTAGTGATGTTAGTGAGGTTGAGAAGAGGCAATGTCTAAAGTACAGCCTATGCCCAAAAGATGAGTCTCTGTTTTCTTTCATGTATCCCTGGGTTCTGTATTCAAAATAAAGAAGGAAGGAGGTCTGCCCACCCACCCCACTTCCCTCATAAACATTTAGTAAAATAATGGAAAAAGAAGTCCGCCTTGTGGATCCGATCCGTGGCTGTCTGGCAAGGTGGATGAAGGGTTCTCAGATACATTCAGACCACGTGGTGTGTGCACCTGATTTCACCCTGGGTTTTCCCCCACACACACAGTGATGCGTCTGGCTGTTGGGGCAGGCAAGAAAGTCCTTGTTTCCACGTGTCCCCCCAACCCCACTTTTCATTTCCAGCAGGCCCCCCTTTCAGTTCCTTCCCACGTCTTTTCATAAATTTGTAACTGTTTACATGCACAGAGGCAGACTAGAGTGACACACAGCCAGAACTTGGGGTCAAAACCAAAAGGGGCGTTAGCTGTGATTCCCTTTGGGCACCGAGTGGTATAGAATTTGCTCAGGATGCCAGAATAGAAGAACAGTTCTGTATTTGACTGCGTATCATGTCAAGCCACGGGTGGTGGGGGGAACATGGCTAATAAGCCATCTTTGCACATGGTGCTAGATCCTTTCAGTCATTTCTGAAGGAGGGACTGTATTTTGCCATCCCCCCCCTTCTGTTGCAGACCTCTGATACTCGACCTCAAGGAGAAGCAGTTTGGAGGGTATTTTAGGGTTGCAGGAGGAGGTGCAGGGCAGAGAAGTTTTGCTCTGCTGGAAGCAAAGACTTTCGATGGAATCCAAGCCATGGTTTCATATCTAGTCTTGATGGGTCCTAACAAACTGTAGTTAATGCGGCCTGCTGCATTTCTTGCAAACCACATAGTGAATTGAGCCATGGTTTTGCATGATGTCTGAATTGTGCCACTGTGTTTTTCTTCTCTCCCGGTTCAGATGAGCGACCGAGGTGGCGGGGTGCCTCTGCGCAAGATCGAACGTCTCTTCAGCTACATGTATTCCACAGCGCCCAAGCCGGAACTGGGTACTGGTGGGACGCCCCTGGTATGTGACAGATGAGGCACTGCGAGAAGAGGCGGGCTAGCACTGCAGTAGATTTCAAGGCTTTTTGAACCGTCATGGCTTCCAAGCGAGGAATCCTGGGAATTATATTGCACCCAGTTGGAGGTGTGGGGGGACAGGCAGGTTGTGTGCAGTGGGACGTCCTGGCTTAAGTTTTGCAGTGTAAATCCTCCCTGCCATTCCTTCGACAGGCTGTGTGAGTAGAAGGTAGACGTGCTTGTCGTGGTCCTTAGCTGCTTCTCTGTCTTCCTTCCCTGGCCTGGAAAGAGCGGTGAAGCGCAGAGTGGGAGGTGGGACAGCATAGCGGTATTCTTCCCAGCTGAAGAAAGAGCTGGGGGTAGGGGGAGAGCCAGCCAGTGGAAGAGATCACGGAGGGAGAATTTGCTAGGCTGAGTTTTGCAGGCTGGCTCTTGGGAAGAACGCACAGGGGTAGCCTCCTGTGCCTGTGTCCGTGGGGGAAGTGGAGAATAATAAGAATGCCAGCTGGGTTGTCGAAAGATACGTCACTTTCCTTCTACCTTCTCCCCCTGCTATCGCCAGGCTGGCTTCGGCTACGGGCTCCCTATTTCCAGACTCTACGCCAAGTATTTCCAAGGTGATCTCCAGCTCTTCTCCATGGAAGGCTTCGGGACGGATGCAGTCATCTATCTGAAGGTGAGTCAGTTTCCAGTTCTTCCTTCCCCAAGTCCTGCATGGGAATTCCTACTCAAATGAATGTGGGGAGCTGCTTTTTATGGAGTCAGGCCATTGGTCTGGAAGTGGGATTCACACTGCCTGATCCCTTGGACTGGAGATACCTGGAATTGAGCCTGGGACCTCCCGTGTGACAAGCAGCTTCTCTGCTGCTGAGCCACAGCTCTTCCCTGGGCATCTATTGGTGCTCTGTCCACTTGTCAGGAGAGACATGTTCTACGCTATTATTTCAAAGAGGCTTGCATTTCACAGGTGTCCAGTTTTGATCAATACCCTGTTTTTTATAGGGGTTGCTCAGTTGAGTCAAGGTTGCAAAGTTTATCCTGAGTTCAGAGTCGTATTCCTGTTCCTGAGGTCATTTGCCTTTAACGAAAATGAAGGCAGAAGTTCCAACGGGGTCACCATCTCATAGTAGCCAGGGGTGGGGAAGTCTGCCTTCCCATTGGCTGCCAAGCCCTGACAGCAGTGCTTTGCAAAATCTTTTCTGATTGGCTTAAAGTTGCAGACTTTTGAATGCAGTGTTGATATTTTTTTTTGTTACTGTTAGACTTTGTCTCTCACACAGAGTCACCCCAGTAGCTAAGGGAACTAAATTTCAAACAAATCAGAAACTTTGATCAAATTATTAACATTTATTTTTTAAAAAAAAAACCACCTACATTGCTGGGTGTGTTTCTTTGGAAAGTTTACATTGGTCTTGGAGGCAATTTACTTCTGAGTAAACATGTTTTACATTGTATACTATGTCTTGATAGAAAAATTTTAAGGCAATGAAGGTGTATGCTTTTTAAAATTCTCTTAAGTGCAGCTTCAGTCATTGGGCCTAGTGTAAGGAATTCAGGCCAAAAGAATATTTGAGTTTTCAAAAGTAAATTTGGGTCAAAAGAATCATTTTGAGAAGGTTTTTTCTTTTGTATTTTTGCATTTGTATGTGAGCATGTTTGTGCCCATGCCTGGAAGTCATGGCGACCTCTGGTGACTCCTACTGGGGCATGGAGGACATTCAGAGAAGTGGCTAGATAGCCTGCCTCTGGCCTCCCGGCCCTGGTATTCTCTGGAGGTCTCCCATCCAATACTTGCCAGGTCTGATCCTGTTTAACTTCCGAGACCTGATGAGATCGGGCTTGCCTGGGCTACCCAGATCAGGGCCGAGAAGGTTGTTTTTTTTAATGTCCTCAAATTTAATTTCAGGTCATTGCTATGATGATATCCTGCTTTATTAGCTAGCCAGCTTTCTATTGTGTATTCTTTGCCACCCTGTGCTTCTGGCTGTATTGGGAAACATCTGTCATGATTCAACATCCTTCACCATTGTCTTCCCACCACTGTACATGGCTCACCTGTCCACCACTAGAAATATGCCGTTTTTACTCCCAAGTAGTCTGTATATGCCCGAAAATAAGGGTAGAATGCCATTTTTTTAAAGGAAGTACATAGGAATGTCTCACATATGGGCCATTGTAAATTGGGTTTGCTACCTCGAGAGCCCATCCCAACTATCTGAATGTGGAAGTCAAAACCAACGTGTGCTGGCATATGCAGAATATGGTGGAGTTGGTTAGCCAGTTGAAGACACCCCTGTTGCCAAGTTCATTCCAACCTTTGCGCCTTTCTTCCCAGGCCTTGTCAACGGACTCAGTGGAGCGGCTTCCCGTGTACAACAAGTCGGCATGGCGCCACTACCAGACCAGCCAGGAAGCCGACGACTGGTGTGTGCCCAGCACAGAACCGAAAAACACTTCCACCTACCGGGTGACCTAAGACTCGCCTTTGTTTCTCAATGAAGAGGGCCTCTCCCTTGCCTCAAAGGTGGAGAAGCCAGACTTTAATGTTTGGAGAGAGAGGGAAAGGACTGCGATCATCACCAGCGCAAACCCACCTTCATGTTATGAGACCTCAACGGACACTCTCTCCGTTGGCCAGGTCGGGCAACAAGCTGGCCAGACAGGAGCCCGACTGCTTTCTTTGGTTGGGGAAGTACGTAGTGTAGATCCTTCTCTGTATCACCGGAGAGCCCTGCATGGAGCCTCCTCGCTGCTGACCCTCCCATCCCTACCTGTACCATCCTGTCTTTCTGTCTTGTGGATTGGAATTGGCCTTCCATGATCCTTTTTCCTTTAAAAAAATCCTATATGATGTTTGGTCACGCTGCCGTCATTATTATAGAGGCTGGGCATTAACGTTTTGAAAGGAGGCTCAGGGATCTACAGAAGAAAATGGAAACAAGTGCCAGCTGATGTGGTACGCTTCCTGACAGGGAAGGAAAAACTCCTCTCTGAGGAAAGCGGGTGATATTGGCAGAGTCCAGATATCGTTGTTGCAAAGCGTAGGTGTGTCAGAATTCTTGGGCTCTTCTGTACTCTCATTTTTATTGTGTGTCTCCAGTGCTTGGGGGGGGGGTTCTTTTCCACATGTGTTTTGCTCCTTCTTGTAGTCAATTCAATATTACATCTCTGTATCTCTGGCCCTTAAAGCGGCAAAGAAATAGACTAGAGGTACAGCAGTGTAATATTGAATCGACCACTAGAGGCAGCAAAACACATGCAGCAAAGGGAAACCCCCCCAAAGCTATAGGGACACACAAGCAACGAAAATGAGTGCGGAAGAGCCTCTTCTTAAGCATCAGAAGGAGAAAGCGCACACGAAAGTTCTTGAGTTACATTCTTTTCCCAACAAGTGTATAATCTAAGATGCTGGAAAAAGATTCATGAGAATCGATCATATTCAGGGCAGGGGGAGTCTGACTGCGTTTCAGATGTTCTGTTGGGGACTTGGAGGCTTGCAGAGTTCAGTCACTCGTGTACCAAAAGAGTTCTCTCCCATTTTTATTTTCCTGACCTTTGGTGGTTTTCCTGCTTATTACACTGATTTGTCATGGGCAGAAATGGGGCTCTTGACTGACGGTCAGTCCCCAGTGAGGCTTGTGGCAGCGTTTAAATCTGCAGCTTGTGACCAGAGAGTTGCGTGTATGCTCTCTGAGCATACTGTTGTCTCCCCAAGCAAGCTGGTTGTTTAGATTGGCCGCCCCTCCAGTGGCGAGCACCTCCACGCCAAGTGCAAGTCATTGGGCGGTGGGTATGTGGAGAAGAAGAGGCTGCTGGACAGAGATTGAGCCTGGTCCCTTGAGGTGCGGGTGAGATGAAGCATTTAGGGTTTCCTTCCGTGGCTGTCAACAGGGGCAGGGATTCAAGATGAGGCAGGGTCTCTTTGCTAAGTGAGCCACCTCCAGAATGTGGGCAGAACTGGCTGAAGGAGCTGTTGCGCCCCCCCCTCCCCCGAGGGCTTTTTGGATGACATTGCAGGGAGAACGAACGTGTGGTGGGGGGGGAGAGTCAAGACTGCAGTGGCAAGACCCAGTCACCGTGTGTCGATTGAGAGAGAGGCGTCGGGTGCAAGCAGTGCTCCTGTACGAAAGCCTAGGAAAAGGAGGGTTCCTGATCATGGGGAGAGAGGGCCCTCATACATGTGTAGGACCTGGGCCCTCTTTCCAGTGGATGCACTGAAGTCAGTGGAGTGGAATTCGCCTCTTCCACAGCCCACATGTTAATTTCCCCCAGAACCTTATCCGGGAAAGTCTCCGGTGTCCTGTGTGTGAAGCATTGAGACCGCAGCTGCTTCTCCGCCTCTCCGTGTGGACCTTTCCTCTCCAGCGGCTCATGCCAGGATCTTTTCTCTTTCTTTTTTAATCCTTGTCAAGCGGAAACGGAAGGGCAGGTGGGCAAAGTGTGTGCTTGGATAGGGAAGCAAGTACAGGTGTGACTTCCACTCGGGGGGCCGACTGGTTTTCAGAGTCTCCCCGTGCCCAACACAGAGACAGCCTGTCCGTCTGTGCAGGAGCCTTCTCCGCCCCGCCCCCATCCGTCCCTCTCGTCCCTCGTGTTCTGCACCTGCCTCCCCAAGCGGCTAAGAGCCGTCCTCTCTTTCTTCCCTCGTCCCCATTGCATGGCATGCTTCTGAACGGTCTAGAGATCGTCAGTGTATATATCATATATATAAATATCTATATTTTTATTATCTGGGTCAAACCACAGAAGTGTCCAAAAACACACACATGCAAGCTGCCACAGTATTCTTTTAGCTCCTTTGATCAGTTAAAGGGCACGGGGGGGGGGAACGGGACATGAAATCAAACTTATTTAAAAACAAAAACAAATAAAATGAACCATACCTCCTTGGTTGTGAGCGTGAGTCACTTCCGGCAGGGTCGTGGGCTTTTGTTGTGAATTTGCGTTGGTTTCTGTTGCGTGCAAACATTTGGGGCTGAGGTGGCTTAGAGGTTAAGACGCTGAGCTGCAGACCGGAAGGTCTGTAGTTCGGCAGTTCGAGACCCGAGTGCTGCATGATGGAGTGAGCTCCCGTCTCTGGCCCCAGCTCCTGCCAGCCTAGCAGTTTGAATGCAAGAAATTGCAAGTAGATAAATAGGTACTGCTTCGGTGAGAAAGTAACAGCATTCCGTGCACCTTGGCGTTTAGTCATGCTGGCCACATGACCACTGAGAAGTCTTGGGACAGTGCTGGCTCTTTGGCTTGGAAACGGAGATGAGCACCGCCCCCTAGAGTCGGATTCGACTAGCTTTCGAGCAAGGGAAACCTGTACCTTAACATTTGGGGAAATTGTGATGTAGAGGAAGGGAATACGGGTTGGTCATCTAGGCCAGCCTACACAGACCAAAGACCCCCACCTTTCAGTCCCCAACAGGCATTGGAAGACACCGAGGCTCAAACGCCTGACATTGCAGTCATGTGACAGGAAGAAGGGACGCCAGAGCTATGACCTCACCAGGGTTTCTGCCAGCGCCACGGGCGATAGACCAAGAGAGAGAGCTGTAGTATGGAGTTTTAGGGCTTCCTCTGCCTAAGCTTATCGCTTTCCACAGACACACACGCAACTATTAGTGGGCGCAACTCCCACATTACTTCTAGCCAAGCTTATAGTTAACGACTCACGGATAACAGTTGCCTCACGGTGAGTCCCTGGGGGCGCCTCAGGTTATGCACAAGGCTGTGCAAAGATGTAGGCCAGGGGTCCCCAACCTTTTTGAGCCCCCGGGCAGCCTTGGAATTCAGACACAGTGTGGTGGGCGCAGCTACAAAATGGCTGTTTCAGGAGGTGGAACCAGCCACAAAATGGCTGCCCCAGCTCACCCTCAGTCACAAAGTGAAGATCCTTGTGCTGTGGTGGCAGCTGCTGCCAAAGCAGTATTTTTAAAAATCTGCACAGCCAGTCAGCAGCCTTGCTGGGCAGAAGCTCCACCTAGCTCTGCTTACTTTCTAGAAACATTTGGTGGACACCAGGGAAGGTTTCAGCGGGCACCACAGTGCCCATAGGCACTACATTGGAGCCCCTGGGTGTAGGCATTTGGTTCCCTTCTGTTAATTTTGAAGCAGAAAAGGGATACTGTTTCCCATGCATCCTTCATCACGCGGCCCCGTTTAACAAACGGCTGGGCATGGAGCCTTTCCCCTCACAGAATTGGGCCCTTGCATGCATTTTATTTGCCCACACACACAAACTATATGCAAAACATTATACACTTGTAAAACTCTACCATGGCTGTGTACATTTGCCCAGAGCTTGGAGGCTGCTTGGAGACAAGAGTGTCTGAGTGTTAATATAGATCCAGGTGGGTAGCCGTGCTGGTCTGAAGCAGTAGAACAAAGTCTTGAGTCCAGTGGTACCTTTAAGCAGGGCTAGTTTTGGGCAGGAACGCACAGGAAGGGAGTTCCGGCTGGCTTCAGAGTTGGCCACACCCACTACAGCCAAAACCTCTGTGTCCGTGGCTACAGAGGGAAGGCCTGGAGAGCGACAACCACCCCCGCAACTCCAAGGCAGGTGGGCCAGGGGGCCCCCTGGAAGGATCTGTCCAAGGGCTGGCTTGCCCGGGCTCCTCGCAGGACAGATCCTTCCAAGGGAAGGCATGTGGTGTGGCCTAATATGCTAATGAGATGTGCTGTTGGGGGTGTGGCCTAATATGCTAATGTATTCCTGATGTTGGGTGTGGCCGTTATGCTAATGTGTTTCTGCTGGGCTTTTTCTACAAAAAAGCCCTGCCTTAAGACTAACAATAATGACAAGAATAAATCTTTGTTGATCTTAAAGGTGCCACTGAACTCCACCTTTCTTCTGACCGAACATTGTTAATATGTTCAACCAGTGGTTTCCAAATTGCAAAACAAAACACAAGGCTTCCACGCTGGCTTGAGATCTCTTTAATTTCATCTGGTGGGACAACATCTCTTTAAAAGGTTGTCTTCCACACCTTGTCTTGTTCATTGAGCAGATGTGTTGACTGCCTTTCCAGACACCTGCTCCAGGCAGTTAACAAGAAGAAATGTCAATGTCCAACTCAACCATGGGTGAAAGCAACACAACTCATTTCCCTGGCAATAAAACCAACCCAAGTGGAGCAGTTATTACAAAACGGTTATAAATGTTTTACAGGGCTTTACCAATTTTAAAAGCGGGGTCATAAAATTCTAAGTATTGGCAAGTAAGAAATAAGCCATAAAATACTGAAAGGGAGCTGATAAACCTCCAATTAAGAGTCTGGGCCAATATGAGCATTTTTGCCTGGTGCCTAAATGGCGGACAGGGTAGGCGCCAGGCAAGCATCAAGGGGAAGAGACTTCCAGATTGGGGATGTCACCAGTACTATTAAGTCATGTTTCCATTGCTGGGATTTAAGCTAGCAGGCAAAAAGGAAAAATAAGTGGTTCATATGCCGAATGTTGATTATTGACTTGTACGCAACCGTCTGTGCAGGGAAGGCACATGGAGTTTTCCCAGGTTCCTCTCCATTACAGCCCCTTGAGATCATTTCCACGTGGATCTAGGGTGCAGAAGATGAGTGGGTGGGATGGGGGGGAAACGGTGAAACCACCTCTTTGCCTGGGGGGAGTTGCACTTGTGGAAGAGGAAGGTGGAAGGATTCCACCCTTTTTTGTTGCTTCATTCCAGCCCCTCCCCCATCAGTTCAGCTATTCCTTTGCATGGGTCCCATGACCCCAGGAGTGTTAATCCCCAAGGGGTCAGAAGGAACTGCAGAGGGACATGAGAAAATTCAGTATTCTGTGTGTGTGTGTGTGTGTGTGTGTAAGTGCTGTCAAGCGGCTTCCAACTTACGGTGTCCCTACGAACCGAAGACCTCCAAATCGCCCTGCTGTTAGCCTTGCTCAAGTCTAGCAAACGGAGGGCCCTTGTGGCTTCCTTGATTGTGTCACTTCATCTCATGTTGGGTGAGTCCAGTGTTCCCTCTAAGCTGAGTTAGCGTGAGCTAGCTCACAGTTTTTTAGCCTCCGGCTCACACATTTGTGTCTCAGCTCAGGAAGGAGGGCTCCAGAGCAAACTAATTGATGCAGGAGCCAAATCGCCCTCTCACAACTTTCATGCCAGTAGCTCACAGTGTAGAATATTTGCTCACAAGACTCCACAGCTTAGAGGGAGCATTGGTTGGGTCATCCTTTTCCCCCTCTGTGTTCAACTTTTCGTAGTATTATTGTCTTCTCCAGTGACTCTTTTTTCATCATGTGACCAAAGTACCATAGCCTTAGCTTAGACATTTTAGCTTCTAAGTAGAGTTCAGGCTTTTTAATTTTGGGGGGGTGATCATTTTTGTTTGTGCGTGTGCATGTGTTCATGTGTGCCTGGAAGTCATGGTGACTTCTGGCGACCTCTACTGGGGCTTGGATGTTTCAGAGGGGTGGCTTGATATTGCCTGCTTCTGCATTCTGGCCCTGGTATTCCTTGGAGGTCTCCCTTCCAAGTACTTGCCAGGGTCAGCCCTGCTTAGCTTCCGAGATCTGAGGGGATTGGGCTTGCCTGGGCTATCCAGGTTAGGGCTAAGGAGAGTTCAGGCTTGATTTGATGTAAAGGTTTCACTTGCTCAAAAGCTAGTCAAATCCGACTCTAGGGGGCGGTGCTCATCTCCACTTCCAAGCCGAAAAACCAGCGCTGTCCGAAGACTTTTCCGTGATCATGTGGCCGGCATGACTAAACACCGAGGTGCATGGAATGCTGCCACCTTCCCGCCGAAGAAGTACCTATTTATCTACTTGCAATTTCTTGCTTTCGAACTGCTAGGTTGGCAGGAGCTGGGGCCAGAGACGGGGGCTCACTCCGTCACACGGCACTAGGGTCTCAAACTGCCAAACTAGTACAAGCGTCTACAGCACAGCGTCTTAACCTCTAAGCCACTGCAGCCCCCTGATTTGATCTAGGACCTACTTATTTGTCTTTTGGGGGAGGGGTCCATGGTTAGCATAAAACTCTCCTCTAATGCCGCATTTCAAAGGAATCTGTTTCTTGCTGTCAGCTTTTTTCCACTGTTTGATTTTCACATCACTATGATACCAGTTATCTGTTGGAGTGAGCTACTCAGCATGCCTGGACACTGAAGGGTGCTACATCACCCTAAGTGTGTATAGGTGTTATCTCCTTGAATGGGATTCCTCTCTTTGTCTTAACCTGGGAGCTGCCCTCTGATCCCTCCTTTCTCTTGCTCTGTCCTCTCACTTTCTTTGCATAGCCATCCATGGAGACACATGTATCTGTACATCTCTCCTGTAGATACAATGCCCTCATGCTCCCATACACATGGTTCTAGACCAGCTGACCATTTGTGACAGGGAAAGTCCTTCTTAGATTAGGTTTCTCTCCTTTCAACTGCAACCTGAATATGAACTGGCTCTTTCCCCCCCTTGTGATGGGCTGCATTTTTAAAAGGGCTGTGGGGGGTTAGTTCTTCACAGAGCCAGAGAGCCTTGAGTGACAGGCTGTCCCAGGAGATCTGATTGGTTAGCGTCAGCTGAGCAGAGAAAGACTTCTGAAGTGGATGCTGAGGAGAGATGCAGTCTGATTTCAGCCCTAGCTAAGCAGAGTCAAGTACTGACAGTTTCGGAATTCAGCCCTGACTGAGAGCAGTTTAACACAGGCAGGAAAACTGGGGAAAGGTGGCAAGGATTAATAGGTAGTTAGACAGAGACTCCTATTTGGGCCAGGAAAAGGGAGATCTTCTAGTTAGAGAAGAGATTCCCTGCCCAGTTGATAGGGAGATACCTCTAAAGAGTGGTATCTGATGTGTTTGGTAGTGTATCTCTGCCTTCTGAAACATGAAGAGTCAGTTAAATT